AAGCAAAAACACAAACCATAGCAACAGAACCAGTTGTTCTGCAAAATCGTCGTAGTTCAAACTTAGAGCTGATTTTCAGAACCATAAGCCTATATGCAATAATATTTAAGTTAGAAAACAATCTAGACTTGAATACTTATAATGTTCATATTAATTCAATAGCGAGAAACAACTAAAACAATCCAAAAGGGATAAAAGACTTCACACACTTGTAACGCTCACAGAAATGCAAAGCCATCTCTCCAACTGCTCCTCCACTGACAATCACTTTGGCACCAGAATCTGCTACTGCTTTGATGAGCTCCTCTATTTTAGCCTCTTCAGTTTTTGAATAATTTTCCAGCTATATAAATAAAAAAGAGAGAAAATCCATTTATCAAAGCATCAAATAATATAGGAAAACAAAACATTAGAAAAATCAGGGTCTATAAAATCCCAAGGATCCTTTAGCTGTACAGCCTCAGGTATAATAAATAAAACCATTTCCTATTACAGAAGTTGAGAATAAAAAAAAAACAGATTATCCTAAAAGTTACTGCCAAATTGTCTTACAGATTTAAATTTAAACATTAAATTGTTTCCAATAAAAAAATCTAGCCACAAATCACTTCAAAACATATCAGCATGAGAAAAATGGATGAAGGAACAATTTGAGAAACTCAATGCTAGTATGCATTAAGTAATAACAATTTGAATCAGGCATTGACCAAGTACAACAGACCTTTTAGGATTTTTATATGTTTTAAATTATAACAATTAGAAGAATATGTAAAACCAATAAAGCATAACCAAACCCAAAAAATCATGATAAATGAACATAGAAAACTCAGCAGCATTGTGACCAAACAAAATCTACAAGACAATAATGACATGGCCCAAAATAATACCTTGTTAGAGCCTTCCAAATTATCAGCGGAGAAAACTTATACTTGGTAAAAAGAAACAATAACACAAGTTTACGGTTGTTATTACTGCATTAAGATTTAGCTATAGTACCCAACCAATATCCACTTCCAACCTTCTCATTTTGGACACAGTTAGATCTCCAGCTTATAACATTAGACACATTATATGCAAACAATTAAAAGAACATATCTACATAAAACAGTAAGTAGAAGACAGTGATCAAATCCAAACTCTAGACATTTTGACATACCTGCTCCGCTGAATGTATGAGGACAGTTCCTTTAGTCTCAGTTGCTGATGTATCAACACCACCGGCAAACACAACAACCTTAAACAATACAGATAAAAGAACTCAGCACAAGACAGTTTGAAAATTTGCCAATATTTTTTCATTGGGAGAAAAGGATTGATATCTTGTGTATATCAAATATACTCAATGTAGAAGATTATAGAAAAAGATCTTGCTACATGATGACAGGAAAATATGCATCTCAACAAAAAGTGAGAGAACAAATAACTTCATTGAAATTAGTAGAGCTTCCATGTTGAAGCATATAATTGCAACAGGCTGACACAACCAATCATATTAGTAGGTAATACTCAGTTAAATAATCTCAAAATGAGCCACTCCATACTTACATTAAATCACTTTTTAGAAAAGGTAAGTATGTGACGCCTTTCAAAATTACAAACCCATATACAGTTTAAATTTTAAAGCCCGACATGATCCCAAAAGGGATATGACTATATACTATGTAGTCATAGGAGTTTGTTCAATATGCCCTAGAACACTACTAAAGAAAGTGCTTTCATAAATTCACATTAAAGACCTGCCAAAACGTTTGGACAAAGTCAAAAACCATTGGAAGCTAAAAATAGCATTGAAAACTCCACACACAAATTTTAAACAATGCAGAATATAAAAAATATAAATCTAATTCTAAGACTTTTATAAATGCAGTAACAACTCAATAATTTAACCTCAAGTTATAGCAGTTCTTCCATCTTCTCAACTTGGCTTACTATGATGGTTTCTATTGTTGTTTCCTTTTTTAATTATTTTTAACATGTTAATAATGCTCAAGTCCTCTCACCCTATTTGTTTTCTCTTGGCCCTCTAACATTTAAACACCCAAACACTTAGTCCTTTTCATTAACAAATGCATCCAAATCCAATTCCACTAATAACTTTGTCAACACTGTCAATGACTCTGCCTTCTTGCCACTAATCTTATGGCATACAGACTTGATGTTCATAAAAATCAGGCTAATCTCAGGCAAGAGTATGCCTTGTACTGGAATGGAGAACCGTTTTGTTTGGAGATATTGGAATGGAGTATCATTAGTAGAGGAGATTCAAAACTGATATAAACATGAAGTTGGGGTGTGATAAACAGTGGCCTTCTAAACATTGAAGTAAGTCAAGTAGAGATGAGGTTTGGAGAAGTATGGATTCATTCATAGGAGATATGGATGAAGGAGGCTTCAGGTAGACCTCATAGTAAAATATTGTTTCAGTTGATTATTGAATTCCACCAAAATACGACAGTCACACATAACCGTATCACTGTGCAAATCTATAACTTCTATGAAAAGATTTTCTAATGGAGATTGTGTTTTGAATTGCTGCAAAGGGCTTGATTGTGTAGTTCACAGCAGTGTTGGAATGGGTAGTTTATATCTACTATATGCGAGAAATTAGTTTTTCTGGTTCAATGAAATACCAATATTTCAATGGGTTTTATGGTTTAACCCTCGAGTGTAGCACACCCCTGTTTCAAATTCTTTTGTCGTAGAATGGACAAATTGTTGAACATTCTAAAAAGGGAGATCAACATGAAACCATGTTAAGCTAAATTAGAAGACAAATTAACCTCATTAACAGAGCTATTAATTAAGGGTGTTAGAATGTTGCCTGGACCTAACAGAATTAACTTGTTAAACATTTTAAACTTTAAAGCAAGGACAAAAATTAAACAAAAAACCGTTGGAGAACAAAACCAAAACAAAAAATCGAGTCAGACAATTAAGGTACTAATTTCACCTTTTTTTTCTTGCAGTCATGCATAATTATGTGAGAGAATATGTTGAAGATGATAAAAATAGACTAAAGCTAAAATGAAGTCCTCACATATTACTCAGGTCAGGCTAAAAGTATAGGCTTCCAACTAATCAAAATATCAAACTAAGGAACCAATGAAGAGCACATGCACAAGCAAACCTGAAGGCTTGGCTTGAAATCATCTAGCATAAAGTATGGAAAAATGGCAATGATAAGATAGTTTTGAAGGATCTAATTCACAACAAATGAATTTATAGGAGACTCACCGATAAAACAAAAAAAATTCAACACAGAGAAAGCTCACCTTTGCCTTCTCTGCTTGCTTTACAGTCCCAACAGCATCACTCTTCAACACCATTCCTCGAACTACTGTGCTGTTATGCAAGCCCCCTCCCAAGAGCTTTGCAACGCGAATGTTGTCCACATTAAAGTTTGCTGGGTTTTTCGGACATACTTGGATGCATGCCTATTTTCCAAACGAAGGTCAGACTGTAAACAATATTATCCTACCAAAGCAATTTATCATAGTAAAATGGATTCGGATGCACTCACATCAGCAACAAGTGAGCATATGGTATTTTCTAGACCAAACTGCTTGCTAGCAACCGCTGCTTTCATTCGAGAAACAATTTGCTCCTTATCACGAACATCCATAGTCTCCGAACCTTCCTCAACCAGATCATCCAATATTTGAACAGTCTGAAACATGACAAGGAATTAGAGCGAGAGAAAGCAGCAACATCAATACAATATTTAAAGAAGAATCACTATAGCTCCCATCAAAACCAAAAAACCTTGTTGATTGCTTTAGTGTATCCACTGATTATCTCGCTCGGATGCAAACCCATCCTGATAAGTTCCTCAGCACCCTGCAGGAGCTCCCCAGCAAAAGAAATAGTTAAGTTAGCTCCATCCCCAATCTCCTCTTGTTGAGCCTTCCCAGCCAAAACCAAAATCTTGGCAGCAGGATGCTGAACTTCAAGTTCGTTCACAATTGTCGCAGCGTCATTCGTGACAAAAAGCTTGTCCAAATGATTTATAACCATCTTATTCATACCTGAAGCAGATCAAACAAAATATTACAAACAATATAAATCTATTCAGTCAAACCCTTCCTTCTGTTAACAACAACCAGCAACAAGTTCATACACGAACAAACAAAAAACTTTCCCAGAATCCAAAATGAAAATCTCCTTAGTAAACGAAAAACAGAAACTTCTCTTTCTCAAGCCACCTCGTTACATTTACTCTTAGCACGGCATCCGTATAAACGCTAGATCCGCAACCATGAAAACGTACACATACCCACATTATAAAAATCCAAACTTTTGGAATGTGAAGGTGCAACAACCACTCGGGGTCAGTTAAAAAACGTAAAAACGAAAAAGGGTAAGCGCGATCGTTACCATTGGGACCAAGGGAAGTTCGAGTTATAGTGGATAGTTGTTTGCAGGCGTCGATGTTCTTGAGAACCGCCTCATCTAGACCAGAAAGGTGTTTGTGGCCTTCCTTGAGCATGGATTGAATCCCATAGGGTTGAATGTTAAAACCCATGTTCTTGCAATTTGAGAATACCCTAACCCTAAAACCCTAGAAATTNTTTAGTCTCAGTTGCTGATGTATCAACACCACCGGCAAACACAGCAACCTTAAACAATACAGATAAAAGAACTCAGCACAAGACAGTTTGAAAATTTGCCAATATTTTTTCATTGGGAGAAAAGGATTGATATCTTGTGTATATCAAATATACTCAATGTAGAAGATTACAGAAAAAGATCTTGCTACATGACAGGAAAATATGCATCTCAACAAAAAGTGAGAGAACAAATAACTTCATTGAAATTAGTAGAGCTTCAATGTTGAAGCATATAATTGCAACAGGCCTGACACAACACCAATCATATTAGTAGGTAATACTCAGTTAAATAATCTCAAAATGAGCCACTCCGTACTTTTATTAAATCCCTTTTTAGAAAAGGTAGTATGTGTAGCCTTTCAAAATTACAAACCCATATACAATTTAAATTTTAAAGCCTGACATGATCCCAAAAGGGATATGACTATATACTATGTAGTCATAGGAGTTTGTTCAATATGCCCTAGAACACTACTAAAGAAAGTGCTTTCATAAATTCACATTAAAGACCTGCCAAAACGTTTGGACAAAGTCAAAAACCATTGGAAGCTAAAAATAGCATTGAAAACTCCACACACAAATTTTAAACAATGCAAAATATAAAAAATATAAATCTAATTCTAAGACTTTTATAAATGCAGTAATAACTCAATAATTTAACCTTAAGTTATAGCAGTTCTTCCATCTTCTCAACTTGGCTTACTATGATGGTTTCTATTGTTGTTTCCTTTTTTAATTATTTTTAACATGTTAATAATGCTCAAGTCCTCTCACCCTATTTGTTTTCTCTTGGCCCTCTAACATTTAAACACCCAAACACTTAGTCCTTTTCATTAACAAATGCATCCAAATCCAATTCCACTAATAACTTTGTCAACACTGTCAATGACTCATCCTTCTTGCCACTAATCTTATGGCATACAGACTTGATGTTCATAAAAATCAGGCTAATCTCAGGCAAGAGTATGCCTTGTAGTGGAACGGAGAACCTTTTGTTTGGAGATATTGGAATGGAGTATCATTAGTAGAGGAGATTCAAAACTGATATAAACATGAAGTTGGGGTGTGATGAACAGTGGCCTTCTAAACATTGAAGTAAGTCAAGTAGAGATGAGGTTTGGAGAAGTATGGATTCATTCATAGCAGATATGGATGAAGGAGGCTTCAGGTAGACCTCTATAGTAACATAAATGCATCTAAGACAAAAATATTTTGTTAGAATGAAAGGTAGTTGGGTTAATTTGGTCCTTGTTTCTTACCATAGAAGGAAAAAAACTCGTGCAATTTGCTACTTAGCACATACAATTTCAAATGCAGTATCTGTTTTCTGCTATCAAGTTCAAATCAAATTCAATAATGCCCTCTTGTAGTGAAAATTATAAAAAGAAAAGTAGAAACAGCAAATGAAAACAACAAAGATGAGTAAAATAAAAAAGTGGAAAGGAAGGAAAACCATGTGGAGACATCGTAATTAGACTTTGTTTCAAGATGTCAACAATGGCCTCTTTCAAAGATAGATTAGATCATTACACTTTAGTACAAGAGTGATTAAAAATATTGTTTCATTTGATTATTGAATTCCACCAAAATACGACAGTCACACATAACCGTATCACTGTGCAAATCTATAACTTCTATGAAAAGATTTTCTAATGGAGATTGTGTTTTGAATTGCTGCAGAGGGCTTGATTGTGTAGTTCATAGCAGTGTTGGAATGGGTTGTTTATATCTACTATATGCGAGAAATTAGTTTTTGTGGTTCAATGAAATACCAATATTTCAATGGGTTTTATGGTTTAACCCTCGAGTGTAGCACACCCCTGTTTCAAATTGTTTTGTTGTAGAATGGACAAATTGTTGAACATTCTAAAGAGGGAGATCAACATGAAACCATGTTAAGCTAAATTAGAAGACAACTTAACCTCATTAACAGAGCTATTAATTAGGGGTGTTAGAATGTTGCCTGGACCTAACAGAATTAACTTGTTAAACATTTTAAATTTTAAAGCGAGGACAAAAATAAAACAAAAAAAGTTGGAGAACAAAACCAAAACAAAAAATCGAGTCAGACAATTAAGGTACTAATTTCACCTTTTTTTTCTTGCAGTCATGCATAATTATGTGAGAGAATATGTTGAAGATGATAAAAATAGACTAAAGCTAAAATGAAGTCCTCACATATCACTCAGGTCAAGCTAAAAAGTATAGGCTTCCAACTAATCAAAATATCAAACTAAGGAACCAATGAAGAGCACATGCACAAGCAAACCTGAAGGCTTGGCTTGAAATCATCTAGCATAAAGTATGGAAAAATGGCAATGATAAGATAGTTTTGAAGGATCTAATTCACAACAAATGAATTTATAGGAGACTCACCGATAAAACCAAAAAAATTCAACACAGAGAAAGCTCACCTTTGCCTTCTCTGCTTGCTTTACAGTCCCAACAGCATCACTCTTCAACACCATTCCTCGAACTACTGTGCTGTTATGCAAGCCCCCTCCCAAGAGCTTTGCGACGCGAATGTTGTCCACATTAAAGTTTGCTGGGTTTTTCGGACATACTTGGATGCATGCCTATTTTCCAAACGAAGGTCAGACTGTAAACAATATTATCCTACCAAAGCAATTTATCATAGTAAAATGGATTCGGATGCACTCACATCAGCAACAAGTGAGCATATGGTATTTTCTAGACCAAACTGCTTGCTAGCAACCGCTGCTTTCATTCGAGAAACAATTTGCTCCTTATCACGAACATCCATAGTCTCCGAACCTTCCTCAACCAGATCATCCAATATTTGAACAGTCTGAAACATGACAAGGAATTAGAGCGAGAGAAAGCAGCAACATCAATACAATATTTAAAGAAGAATCACTATAGCTCCCATCAAAACCAAAAAACCTTGTTGATTGCTTTAGTGTATCCACTGATTATCTCGCTCGGATGCAAACCCATCCTGATAAGTTCCTCAGCACCCTGCAGGAGCTCCCCAGCAAAGGAAATAGTTAAGTTAGCTCCATCCCCAATCTCCTCTTGTTGAGCCTTCCCGGCCAAAACCAAAATCTTGGCAGCAGGATGCTGAACTTCAAGTTCGTTCACAATTGTCGCAGCGTCATTCGTGACAAAAAGCTTGTCCAAATGATTTATAACCATCTTATTCATACCTGAAGCAGATCAAACAAAATATTACAAACAATATAAATCTATTCAGTCAAACCCTTCCTTCTGTTAACAACAACCAGCAACAAGTTCATACACGAACAAACAAAAAACTTTCCCAGAATCCAAAATGAAAATCTCTATAGTAAACGAAAAACAGAAACTTCTCTTTCTCAAGCCACCTCGTTACATTTACTCTTAGCAAGGCATCCCGTCTAAACGCTAGATCCGCAACCATGAAAACGTACACATACCCACATTATAAAAATCCAAACTTTTGGAATCTGAAGGTGCAACACCCACTCGGGGTCAATTAAAAAACGTAAAAACGAAAAAGGGTAAGCGCGATCGTTACCATTGGGACCAAGGGAAGTTCGAGTTATAGTGGATAGTTGTTTGCAGGCGTCGATGTTCTTGAGAACCGCCTCATCTAGACCAGAAAGGTGTTTGTGGCCTTCCTTGAGCATGGATTGAATCCCATAGGGTTGAATGTTAAAACCCATGTTCTTGCAATTTGAGAATACCCTAACCCTAAAACCCTAGAAATGGTAACTTCTCTCTTCAACTTTGAAATCTCTGTAGCAAAACTGTGTCACCGCCTCGGACTGTCTCACTAAACCTTAATAACGCCCAACAAGCTTTGAGGTGAAAAGCAGAGAGTGGAGCAGAGAAAATCAAAGAAAAAATATTAAATGCATAATAAACACTTGCAAAAATACAATTCAAAAAATATTGCATGACTTTCTCCAAAGAAAAATTAATATCAAATTTTAACAACAAAAATATTTCTTTTTTAAATAGTGATGATTACTTCTGTCTCTATTTTCTATTATTTTAATTTTTTGAGACTAAAATGTAATTTGTTCTTTTTTACTACTTTCAATTGTCTTCTTATTTTAAAATAAAAATATTTTAGTCATATAATTTTCAAAATTGATGATTTTTAAGCCAACAGTTAAAAATAAGACTTTGAAATTTAAAATATTTTGGCACACTTTAACTAAATAAAAGAAAAATAGTGTGGACGTTCATGTTAAAAACACTACGGTCACCTTTAAATGTAATCATGTTATGTCACATTTGAATAATCTAGTTACGAAACCATAATTGCTATTTCTTTTTTCAAAATTAGGATTAAGAATTTAATTTTAAAATAAGGAATCTCTTTTGGAATTTTTTTTTAAAAACACTTATTTGCTTTTTGTTTAAAAATTCTAACTCTATTTTTATCCTTTTTAAAAATAAAAAGAATAGTAGAATTAATCTTTGTAAAGTATTTCACAAATTACTATCATAAATTCATTTTTTACTATGATTCCTTTGAAAAAACTTATTTTCTCTTTCATGTGACATTCTTTTGTAATCTATAAATGCTCAATGTTGATGTGAAGTGATCATAGTGTTATACTTTTATCATTGATCGAATGTTTCTTTTGCATAAATAAAACAATTTTAAGTGTTAGGGTGTGTAATAGGTGAATTGTAGTAAAAATCTTCAAGGTATGAAAAACTTATAATATTTAGGTTTAATATTATTATTGGTCCTATTTTTGTTAGTTTTGTTCGAAATGGTCATAATTTTTTTATGTTCATTGTAGTCCTAAAGATCGTAATTTGTGTTCAATTTAGTCCTTTTTGCAAACGTCGTTTAAATCGTTAACGACCAAATGTCCAACTGTGCAATCAGTGAATGACATGTCATTTAATTGTCGACGTGGACACTTTAAGACATAGTGACATGGATTTTTGTTTTTTGGAAGTGATTTTCTGATATTAGGGTTTTTATTGAATTGGCCAAGAGTGTCATCGGAGACGTTGCTGGCACCGAAAGTGTCGCTGCCCTTCGATGACTGCCTCTCCTCGTTGTTGGCATTCACTCCTCGTCTCCCTCTGTTTCTCTGCTTTTTTATTTCATCACAAGCCATAGAAAGGTGTTGATGTATCTTTCCGAGCTTCGCCGAAGCTCAACCGCTACACCTGCCACCAAAATTGGTTTGAACTTTTGGTTAGGGTTTTAATTGTTGCAGTAAGGGATGGAGTTTTGTTGAAGATGATGGTGATGGGTGGATATGGGTTGTCGGTGTAGACAAAGAATGGAAGGATCGGAAGAGGTGAACCTATTTTGGTTTCTGTTTGCTGGAACGATGATGGATAATAGGGATTTGGGAGAATAATTTGTGCATGAAGGGTAGAGTTGTTGTCCGTGAATGATCGGATAACTATGGTGAACCTAATCAAGCTTGCTAGTCTCATTTACTGATGTGTATTTGAATATATGTTTTTCCATGTTATTTCTGCTAGTTAATGTCTGGTTCAGGCTAATATGATTATCACATTTCACCCATGAAATGCAAATCCAAAACCAATTGCCAGAATTAACTTCACCTTTTTCAATAAATTGAGAGAGGAGCAATATGTTACAGCTACAAGAAAATTTCCAGTTCGCAATAAAATTTCTTTGCAATCCTAAAGACTAGTTATCACTACACATTGTATTCATCATTTCGTTCAGATACTCATTTGTTCTTTGTTATCTCCTTTTTTTACTGTGTATTTCTTTTTTCATTCAGTTCATTTTTTATTTATCTTGAATTTTAGTGACGTTTATAATTTACAAATTATGTATTGACGTACTCACTCACTCTTTTATTTCATGGTAAGATTATTATAATTAGTAATTAGAACCAATAGAAGATGCTTNACCTGAAGCAGATCAAACAAAATATTACAAACAATATAAATCTATTCAGTCAAACCCTTCCTTCTGTTAACAACAACCAGCAACAAGTTCATACACGAACAAACAAAAAACTTTCCCAGAATCCAAAATGAAAATCTCTATAGTAAACGAAAAACAGAAACTTCTCTTTCTCAAGCCACCTCGTTACATTTACTCTTAGCAAGGCATCCCGTCTAAACGCTAGATCCGCAACCATGAAAACGTACACATACCCACATTATAAAAATCCAAACTTTTGGAATCTGAAGGTGCAACACCCACTCGGGGTCAATTAAAAAACGTAAAAACGAAAAAGGGTAAGCGCGATCGTTACCATTGGGACCAAGGGAAGTTCGAGTTATAGTGGATAGTTGTTTGCAGGCGTCGATGTTCTTGAGAACCGCCTCATCTAGACCAGAAAGGTGTTTGTGGCCTTCCTTGAGCATGGATTGAATCCCATAGGGTTGAATGTTAAAACCCATGTTCTTGCAATTTGAGAATACCCTAACCCTAAAACCCTAGAAATGGTAACTTCTCTCTTCAACTTTGAAATCTCTGTAGCAAAACTGTGTCACCGCCTCGGACTGTCTCACTAAACCTTAATAACGCCCAACAAGCTTTGAGGTGAAAAGCAGAGAGTGGAGCAGAGAAAATCAAAGAAAAAATATTAAATGCATAATAAACACTTGCAAAAATACAATTCAAAAAATATTGCATGACTTTCTCCAAAGAAAAATTAATATCAAATTTTAACAACAAAAATATTTCTTTTTTAAATAGTGATGATTACTTCTGTCTCTATTTTCTATTATTTTAATTTTTTGAGACTAAAATGTAATTTGTTCTTTTTTACTACTTTCAATTGTCTTCTTATTTTAAAATAAAAATATTTTAGTCATATAATTTTCAAAATTGATGATTTTTAAGCCAACAGTTAAAAATAAGACTTTGAAATTTAAAATATTTTGGCACACTTTAACTAAATAAAAGAAAAATAGTGTAGACGTTCATGTTAAAAACACTACGGTCACCTTTAAATGTAATCATGTTATGTCACATTTGAATAATCTAGTTACGAAACCATAATTGCTATTTCTTTTTTCAAAATTAGGATTAAGAATTTAATTTTAAAATAAGGAATCTCTTTTGGAATTTTTTTTTAAAAACACTTATTTGCTTTTTGTTTAAAAATTCTAACTCTATTTTTATCCTTTTTAAAAATAAAAAGAATAGTAGAATTAATCTTTGTAAAGTATTTCACAAATTACTATCATAAATTCATTTTTTACTATGATTCCTTTGAAAAAACTTATTTTCTCTTTCATGTGACATTCTTTTGTAATCTATAAATGCTCAATGTTGATGTGAAGTGATCATAGTGTTATACTTTTATCATTGATCGAATGTTTCTTTTGCATAAATAAAACAATTTTAAGTGTTAGGGTGTGTAATAGGTGAATTGTAGTAAAAATCTTCAAGGTATGAAAAACTTATAATATTTAGGTTTAATATTATTATTGGTCCTATTTTTGTTAGTTTTGTTCGAAATGGTCATAATTTTTTTATGTTCATTGTAGTCCTAAAGATCGTAATTTGTGTTCAATTTAGTCCTTTTTGCAAACGTCGTTTAAATCGTTAACGACCAAATGTCCAACTGTGCAATCAGTGAATGACATGTCATTTAATTGTCGACGTGGACACTTTAAGACATAGTGACATGGATTTTTGTTTTTTGGAAGTGATTTTCTGATATTAGGGTTTTTATTGAATTGGCCAAGAGTGTCATCGGAGACGTTGCTGGCACCGAAAGTGTCGCTGCCCTTCGATGACTGCCTCTCCTCGTTGTTGGCATTCACTCCTCGTCTCCCTCTGTTTCTCTGCTTTTTTATTTCATCACAAGCCATAGAAAGGTGTTGATGTATCTTTCCGAGCTTCGCCGAAGCTCAACCGCTACACCTGCCACCAAAATTGGTTTGAACTTTTGGTTAGGGTTTTAATTGTTGCAGTAAGGGATGGAGTTTTGTTGAAGATGATGGTGATGGGTGGATATGGGTTGTCGGTGTAGACAAAGAATGGAAGGATCGGAAGAGGTGAACCTATTTTGGTTTCTGTTTGCTGGAACGATGATGGATAATAGGGATTTGGGAGAATAATTTGTGCATGAAGGGTAGAGTTGTTGTCCGTGAATGATCGGATAACTATGGTGAACCTAATCAAGCTTGCTAGTCTCATTTACTGATGTGTATTTGAATATATGTTTTTCCATGTTATTTCTGCTAGTTAATGTCTGGTTCAGGCTAATATGATTATCACATTTCACCCATGAAATGCAAATCCAAAACCAATTGCCAGAATTAACTTCACCTTTTTCAATAAATTGAGAGAGGAGCAATATGTTACAGCTACAAGAAAATTTCCAGTTCGCAATAAAATTTCTTTGCAATCCTAAAGACTAGTTATCACTACACATTGTATTCATCATTTCGTTCAGATACTCATTTGTTCTCTGTTTTCTCCTTTTTTTTACTGTGTATTTCTTTTTTCATTCAGTTCATTTTTTATTTATCATGGATTTTAGTGACGTTTATAATTTACAAATTATGTATTGACGTACTCACTCACTCTTTTATTTCATGGTAAGATTATTATAATTAGTAATTAGAACCAATAGAAGATGCTTATTTTAGGCAAACAGGTTTTAGGAAGATTACAACTTTCTTTGGTCTAAATGAAAACCAGGAAACTTCTATTTATATATAGATTCTTTAGTTAAAATTTTTCTGGTTAGAAAGAATGCAAAATATACTCGCCATAGAAGCAAAAAGGTGCTTGTTGAATGTTGAGCCTAGATGGCATACTAACAAGTTGATATTTGCGTGTAGAAGTAAAAGGTGGCTAATAATTTTTGGTTCTGTGATCACTTTGATTTTTACTGGGTGTAGATTGTGTTACAATCCTAGTCTCATTTCGCCCTTCTTGGGTATTTTAAGCCCTTTCATGTTGCTCCATATCTTTGCAAGTCGTTTGTACTCGTCCAACATTTCCATTGCTTTGCTCAATCTTTCTTCTAAAAAAGAACCAACTCCAGCACCATAAACATGGTCTTGCCGCATCCCCTCATTTGAAAAATAAAAAAAACACAGTTTAACATCTTATTGGACTTTACTTACTAACCACCAAAGAACCCCAAGAGTCATACCTAACATAGCATAGAGAAGGTGTCTCCGACCATGGCGTTGTGATGGATGGCGATCTTAAACTTGAAGGAAAACGAAAGAGTTTTGCTGCTTGTGAAGGAATAAGAGAGAGTCGGCGCTGAGGATGTTGACGCAGCCACCGATAAGGACTTTAATTGGATAAAAACCCTAATATCCGAAAATCACTTCCAAAAAACAAAAAAAAATCCACATCACTATGCCTTAAAGTGTCCACGTCAGCCATTAAATGTCATGTCATTCACTGATTGCACAGTTGGACATTTGGCCGTTAACGATTTAAACGATGTTTGCAAAAATGACTAAATTGAACACAAATTACAATATTTAGGACTACATGTTAACCCTCGGCAAGTGTAACCGAATCGTATCAAGTAATAATAAAATGGTAAGACCAAATATCGTTCCCCAAAGGACTAACAACCTAAACAGTTATGTGCTTTGTTGATTAAATTAGACTTGTGAACGAATTCTTATAGGATTAAATGCAAATACTGAAAATTGAATATGAATGCATGTATTGATCAATTGGATCAAAAGAAGCAAAAGTGATTGATGTAAATTATGGAATGATGATGTTGTT